ATATGTCTTACTTCACAAATGCCTTTAAAATGTCTTCGTGTGTCAAATTTGCTGCTGTGCTATTGGTCAAAGCAAGTCCTGTAGCCTAGCCCAAAGTCAGAGGGGGACGGCACTCAAGCTATTGTGGGTAGGGGCGGTTGGTAGCAGGATGGATGATTTAGTGGCTACTTTTGCAATTAGCAAAAAGTTAGATAACTTAAGGACCTTGAATCATTTGGTTTCCACAAAGACAGCTTTTTTAAAAAAGAGATTTATTTATTTATGCATACAGGAACTGGTGTACAGGCTAGAGGTATGGGGGATAAAAAGTTTCACCAGAGACAGAGTGGGGCAGAACAGGCAGATCCATTGAAATACAATGCTGAGGGGAACAAGGGGTTGGATAGGAGAGGCCTGCCACATCATGTGGGTCACCTCCCTGGCCAGGGATTGAACTCATGCTCCAGTGGCTGTGGATAGCTTCATAGTACTATGCTTTAACCCGTTGCACCACCATGGAGGGCCCACAACGAGTGGTGCCATCTTGGAGAAGGGCAGTTTGTACTTTAAATAAATCACCTCACTAAGAAGAGTGAAAGGAGCTTATATAGGGGAGAAAGGGATGAGATGTACAGTGTGGGGTGTGGAGGTGGGCTCTTGAGTCTAGTCCAGAAGTGTGCTGGACCCAAGCATGACATAATTACTGATGGCATTTCTGGAATAGTTGCCCTTCTCTGTATCATCAATTTGAAATGGCCTGTGAGAGTTCATCAGGCACTCACGTTATCAGCAGCCTCAGAAAGAACAGAAATATTTCATTAAGCATTGAACACCATTACTGTGGCCCTGAGGAATGTGGTTCCTAAGACAGGGGTCATGTCTGGCCTTCACTCAGGTCCGTGGGTGCAGATTCTCTGGGAATTATTGTTCCAGTGCAATGAAGGGTCCCGTGGAGGCAAAGAATGACATGAACATCATTCACTTATTTATGCAGCATCACTTACTGAGCACTTGTATGGTTCAGGTCCTGGATTTACCATTCTTCAACTCAAGAGCTCTGAGTAAGGTAGAAAGAGACAGTGGTTCACATTTGGATTCATTTTTGAACTTTTTTAAAGTCTGATTTCTTTGGCATGTTAGAGAAAATGATACCATTAAAATTAGGTTATTTTACTTAAATTATATTATCATTTTACTATCCTAAGGTTTCTCCTCACCTCCCTGTCTTACTTAAGAAATTAAAGATGTTAAGTGACCAACTATAATTTTTTTTTTTTTTTTGCTAACAACAGATTTATGCCTAAGCAATGAAACTTCAAATGCAGCTGCTCAGTGTTAGATAACTTAAGTCAGTTGTTTTAATGCTGACACAGAAGTTAAAATTTCTCTCTGGAAATAGATGTAGGTTTGGGATTTTTATTTCCTGTTCCTTAATGATTCAGTATTTTGCAGGCATTATAGTACCTCCCTCTAGTGGTGAATTTAACACTAACAAGACTGTTAGGTCAAACACTAAAAGCCAAGCAAATAGAATGAAACAGCGCTAGGCTCATATCTTTTAAGTAGAAATTACCTATAACTGGTCTTATTCTTGGTTTTAAGGAGGGCATATCATATTGAAGTACATGGGCTTTGATGGGCTCTGAGATTTCATTCTTGAACTTAAAAGTAGACTCCTGACTCTGTTAAGAATTAATAAGTATCAGTTTCTTATTTGGAGGGCATATTAAAACACAGCATTCTAGACTCCAGCCCCAGAGTTTCTGTTTCAGGAGGTCTGGAGTGATAATATCTATTCTGCTAGTGCAGGAACTGCACTTTGAGAACCATTCTTTGAGACACATGGAGTGATAAAAGTAAGCTTTCCATTCCTCAAAGTTTAGCCATTGGGTGATTTGAGGTGTAGTAGAGCATTGTATGGTATTTGATATAGTCAACACTTTGTGAAGGTTGGCACCTATTAATATCATAGATATCTCAGTGTTTTCTCCTTTGGAAAATTGAAAAAAAAAAAGAAGCAGTATTTTTAAATAGTGTTGTGAAGCTAATATTGTTTTTCAGTAATTGTAGCTTTGAATTAGGTCTTTGTGCTTGATGCTGTACTAAGCACTATTAATATACCTATTAGCATTTTTGTGATTACTAAAATACATTAATCTTTTTACATATTGCTTTGATACAAAACAGAACAAACCAAAAAATGCACGTGGGGGTACATCAAAGGAAACAGGAGCCAATGGAAATAACTCCCAATGGCCAAAAATAGAGCAGTTTGAGCAATAAAATAAAATAATAATTAATTGTAACCCAAAGAAAGAATATCCCTGAGTTTATACCAAGGTAAGTCAATGATTGACAGGCTAAAGGGAGAAGAGACAAATTTTCCATGTAGATTTCCAAACAACTTGGCTAGATACTTAGCACTCAAAAACGTCAAGCGTAATTACCCAATCATTAATGGCGGCTGTGCAGAATGACCTCCTTTCAAGGAAAGGAGGGGGGTAAAGAAGGAACTTTATGGGTGAGAAAAATGACAAATACGAGCTCAGCCAGGTGATAAAGGTCCAGTCAGCACTGATATGTCATTCTATTATTATGTATCTTTTATGTGATGTGATGAAAAAGGCACCTCATACTTGTGACTTCCTTCCGCATGAGTTCTATCCCCGCCTGCTCCAAGATGACCCACATGTCATGACAGACCTCTCCTGACCCACCTGCTGCTCCCCTCAGATCGACTTTGTCGATCTGCCTGTTCTGTTCCCCACTCTGTCTCTGGTGAAGCCTCTCACTGCCCCCTGAGCTTCTGGCCTGTACCCCAGTTCTGTATGCACAAATAAATAAATCTTTAAAAAAATTTATTTATTTATGTATACAAGAACTGGAGTATAGGCCAGAGATGTGAGGGGGTAAGAGGATTCACCAGATAGAGTGGGGAGCAGAACAGGCAGATGTACTGAAATATTCTGCTGAGGGGAGCAGTGGGAGAGACAGGAGAAGTCTGCTGTACCATGTGGTTCACCCCTCTTGCCGGGAATCGAACTCGTGTTGCAGTGGCTGTGGATTACTTCATAGGTGCTATGTTTTAACCTGTTGTGCCACCAGAAATAAGGGCTTAGTGAAATAAGGGCTTAGTGAAATAAGGAAAGTCAGAAACTGTGGAAGTCAGGAGGAGCTTAAGGAGACATGAAGAGTAATGGTGGTGTCCTGAGGGGGACACCCATACCCTGTAAACATGGCTAATAATGTTGAACTGCTTTTCATATTCTTATTGACTATTTGCATATCTTCTTTAGAGAAATATACATTTAGATATTTACCCATTTATAAAATGGGTTTATTTTTTCTTATTTCTGACTTACAAAAATTCTTCACATATTTAGATAAAAGTCCTTTATCAGATAAGTGATCTGTAGCTATTTTCTCCTACTCTTTGAATTGTCTTTTCCTTTCCTTTTTGGTATCTTTTGAAGCACAGAGGTATTCATTT